CTGTTTTTTTACAATGTATGCTTGGATGTACGAGGCCATCCCTGTCTTCGCCAAGGCGGGGGGGAGGAGCAACAGTTTAGATGTGTAACAGCAATTTCCTAGGATGTTGCGGTGGCATGTCGAGAGCTGTAACCATTGGGATTATGGCCAATTAGAGATTGAGATTCAAGCAGCTGGGGTAAGATTGAAGGATTAAGCTTTTGAATATGCAGTTGCTTTAAAATGTCGCTTTAATCTGATTGATTTTGTTTCTTGTTGTAGGGAGTCGTTCATCCCTTTCTCACCGCTACTAGGGATGAAGCAGAAAAGGACTATGTCACATCTTTCAAAGCACTAGAGGGATAGACCGCCTGATACGGGACCTAAGAGGGGTCACGCATGTGACGGCAGTTGCAGGGTCATTGCTTGACAACGTGGTTGATGCCGAGGATTATGAAGCTCCAATGGGCGGAAGGCCCGAGGATGAGAAGGAGAAGAGGGAGGAAGAGGTTCGTATGCCTCAGCAAACCAGTACAAGTACCGCTTTGCCGAGTCATCGACGTCGGGAGAATGAGGTTGTTGACCTCATAAACAGCCTGTTTGAGAGTTTTACAACAGCCGTTTATGCAAGGTTTGACAAGATAGAAGAGTGCATGAAAAGGGTGGAGGAGAAAGTGGATAAGCTGGCAGAGAAAGTTGGTACAGTGGAGGAGGAAGTTGGTACAATGGAGAAGGAAGTTAGTGAGAATTAAAGGCGGTTAAAGTGCAAACTGGCTTGAAAAGAGAGAGCCGAAAAAGCAAGTTTGTGAAATTGCCTTACATGGTAGTGACACATGTAAAGAAGAAGAAGACTAAGAAACAAATGGAGGAAGAACCAGAAATGGAGGAGGTTGAGGAGGTTGGTGGAGGAAGTGGGGCGGTGATAATGGAGGAGGGCGAGGTGGGAGGCGAAGGAAGCAGGGATGTAAAAATGGAGGAAGGGGGAGGAAATGGGCAAGCGAAATTGGACTCAAATGTCGATTTGTATAGGCCAATAGAGGAAAAGAAAAAACTCTTCTATGCATATTACAATGGATTAGGAAGTAATGCCCATATAAAGTGTAAGACATGGGATTATCCCTGGGAATGGTTTGAGAAGTTGTTAACGATGGGCACGTGGCTTGAGGACTCGGTGAGTTATTTTCGCTTAATTTTCCTTATTTGCCTATGTTTTCCATACTTATCTTGTTGTTTTTATTTGATGCAGCACATCGATGAGATATTGGCACTGATGAGGCTATGACAGACTACTGATGCTGATCTATTGTATCCCAAATGTGTCATCACCGATGTGGCGTTTGGCCAAGCGCTTGTTTCAGCATATCGCACTTTAATTAAAAATGTCGTTGCTAGTGGTGCAACAAAAGGACCGAAGTGAAAAAGATTGGCCCCAGTACAGTTGGACTGCATCCTTGATGATTTTCATTTTGATGACAGAATTATATAGTATATACGGGGGGATCAGCCCAAATATGGTCACGGTTGGGCCTTTGTTAAAAGAGTGTACTGCATCATGCTCGTCAAACAGATGCACTAGGTAGTAGTCGTTGCGCATCTAGAGGAGGGATTGTTGAAGATCCTTGACTGCAACCCAACTATTTGTCGAGACAAGTAGTTGGAGGTCGAGTTGGAACCATTGTCCAGGTTGTTCTCGCGGCTGTTGCGTGACAGCAGGATGTTTGGGCACTTGGGTGATCAAGTACTAACCGAAAAGTGGCCAATTAAGAACTCTACCGGCCCAATAAATGAGTCAAGGTAAATTTTGTATAAAACTAACTTACATAATATAATTGTTCTATAAGTTTATTCTAACGCTAATATTTTCTTCCTATTGTAGTGCTGAATGTGGGGCATATGCCCTGAAATTTATTGAGTTCGACATGACTAACACCCCGATGGATGGGTTGAATGACGAAACAATGAGAGACTGTCGGGAGGTCGGATGAGTTGGCTACTTATTTTGAGGTTCCATCTTGCACTTGTGGGGCTGGAAAGGGGATTTTAGCAGAAAAGGAAAAAGAGAAGACTCATTAATTCCTTGTGGGTCTAAATGATCAATATGGACTCATTCGTTCCCAAATAATAAACATGGAGCCTTTCCTTACACTCAACAAAGCCTATGCACTTGTGAAAAAAGAGGAGAAGCAGCAAAGTGTTGTTGTAACTCGAACACAAATAGTGGAGGCAACCGCCTTTGCCGCTAAACACACAAGTCATCCCAAGGCTGATATCTGGAAAGAGCAATCACGAGGGGCTATCAAGAATAGGTGTGTGCACTGTAGTTTCATAGGTCATACAAAGGAGACATGTTTTAAAATTGTTGGATACCCACCAGGATGGTAAAGCAAAAAGAAATTCACCAAAGGGGGAACAGATCCAGCCTCTGTCAACAACATCATTTCGGGTCCTCAACAGTCTTCGAATGCGGGCTTTACTCTTATGTAAGAACAGTATGGTCAACTTATGTCCTTATAGTCTTCTGATAGAAATCCTAACATAGCAAATTATGTTGGTAACATATCTGAACCCCTTACAAAACTTTTTGATTGGATTCTAGATTCTGGTGCTTTGGAACATTTCACTTCCAATAAATCCTTTCTTTTTTATATAACATCTTCGGACTATTCCTTACTTGTTAGATTACCCAATGGGTCAACCTTGCCTATACATTCTCATAGTAAAACGATGTTATCCAACATCAATTTAAACAATGTTCTCTATGTACCATCTTTCAAATGTAATTTATTTCCATAAGTAAACTGACAAGAGATCTTAATTGCTCCATGACTTTGTTTCCTACATTTTGCATATTGCAAGACCTCACCTCGAAGAAGCTGATTGGAATGGGTGAATTGTGTGATGGCTTATACTACTTCAGTGGGCTTCGCATACCTTTTGTTGCCGCTACTTCCTGTTCTCCCCCACCATTGACCGAGGAGCAATCTCCTCCTTCTATTCCTCTGCGGCCACAACAAGTAAGATGTCCACCTACTCGTTTTAAGGATTATGTATGTCAGCTCCCTGAAGCAGAAAAGTTACCACCACCTACGTCCAATGCAGTTTCTTCAGGTAAACCTTATCCTATTTCTTGTCATTTATCCTATTCTCATTTTGCTTTGTCGCATCAAGCCTTCTTTGCTAACATTTCTATTCATAGTGAGCCTAAATCTTATTCGCAGATTGTTAAGGATCCGAGATGGTGTGAGGCCATGGCACAAGAAATCTCTGCTTTAGAGAAAAATAATACTTGGAGCTTAGAACATCTCCCTCAAGGAAAGAACCCAATTGGCTCTCGGTGGGTGTTTAAAATTAAACACAACTCTGATGGTTCTGTGGAACGGTACAAAGCCAGGCTGGTGGCAAAAGGGTATACATAGATTGAAGGTCTAGACTACACATAGACTTTTGCGCCGATAGCAAAATTGACCACTTTTAGATGCTTGTTGGTTGTCACTGCTGCTAAGAATTGGGAACTTCACCCATTAGATGTCAACAATGCATTTCTTTATGGTGATTTACATGAAGAGGTTTACATGTCTCCACCTCTTGGTTTTACAACACCAGGGGATACTTGTGTGTATCGGCTCCATAAGTCTCTATATGGTTTGATAAATTTTCTTCCTCATCGCAAAAATTTGGTTTCATACAGTCTAAGAATGATTCCTCATTGTTTACCTTGACTAAGGGAAAATCCTTCCTTGCCCTCTTAGTTTACGTGGATGATATGATTATCGTTGGGAATGATGCTTTACATATTCAAGAATTCAAGCATTATCTTAGTGATTTTCTTTTATTAAGATCTCAGTCATCATAAATACTTCCTTGGCTTAGAGGTTGCATGTTGATTCTTCTTTGCCAAAGAAAATATACCCTTGCTATCTTGACAGAAACGGGCATGATCGGTTGTAAACCTGCATCTTTTCCTCTTCCACAAAAAAAATCATTTATCTTCCGATTGTGGGGAACTTTTGAAGGATCCAGGACAATACTGTCGCTTGGTTGGTCATCTAATTTATCTTACGATTACTCATCCCGACATCCCTTATGCTGTTCATATTCTTGCTCAATTCATGCAAAAACCTTGTCAACCTCATCATGATGCAGTGACATATGTTCTTCGATATCTCAAAGCCTCCCCTAATCAAGGAATTTTCTTTAGCTCCAGTTTTGGTTTTTGTCTTAAAGGCTACTGTGATGCTGATTGGGCCAGTTGCCCGATGTTTAGAAGATCAATTATTAGTTATTTTTATCTTCTTTGGTTCCTCCCTTATCACTTGGAAATAAAAAAAGCAACAAATTGTTTCTAGATCCTCTGCTGAAGCTGAATATCGCTCCATGGCATCTACCACTAGTGAACTTGTCTAGTTATGACGGTTACTTGCTGATCTCACTATCTCTCCTCTACAACCTATGGACTTACATTGTGAAAATCAAGATGCCCTTCATATCGCAGCTAACCCCGTTTTTCATGAGCGGATGAAACGCATTGAAATTGATTGTCATTTTGTTCGTAAACGCTTGCAATCTCATGACATTCGCACCCGATATGTTCCTACACAACTTCAACTCGCAAACATTTTCACCAAGGCCCTCGAATGTGATCAATTTATATTCCTACTACACAAGTTGCGCATTCGTAATCTTCATGCTCCAACTTGAGGGGGGATATTGGAGATAAACATTATATTGGAGATATACATTAGCTGTATTGGAGATAAACATTAGCTGTTGAATCTTTTATTTAATAAATATTAGTTGTATTTCCTTCTTAGCTAGATTAGCTTATTTTTTTGCTGATTTCTCTCCTAAATTTCATCAATGTATCGTGCATATGAAGACATATGGTGAAATAGAAAAACTTACACTTTGCCATTATTTTACATGTATTATGGAGAATTAACAGAAATTTTTGGTGAATTAGATCATTGTGATAAGATGATCATGGAGAATGGAAAAAATGTTGAATCTTATCAAAAATCAGTTCAGCGACAAAAGGGTGCATANTCAAGACTCACCACAACCTCCCTAAAAGGTCCATTTCCAGCATAACCAGTCAGATTATTTTCGGCAATGTAATCATTCGGAAGATTTCCATACCAAAATTCATCATTCTCATGAAAAGAAACATACACCTCCAACACAGCTCTATATACATTTTGAGGAATCTTGAATTCCTTCACCTGAGCATCAGTTGAATTCTCAATCTCAAACCACAACCCATCATTTCCCGGCGAATTTCGTGAAATGGGCAAAATCAAATCAGCCTTGGGACTATACCCAGATTTCAAATTATGCTTCAAAACATGCTCATTCCTATCAAAACCCCCTTCAGCAGGATAAAAATACATAGTTATATCGACATGATACACACCAGTATAAGTTTTATCAACAAGATTACCCATATAAACAGCAAAAGTTTGAGTTTCATTCTTAAGAAGCAACGAATAGTACCTCGTTATATCCTTCTCAACACTCCAAATTATCCCAGTAGCCCTCGGTTCAGCTGTACAACTTCTTAAAAGCTCAACCCCACCTAACCAAACCCCAAAAATGCGGTCAAATTGTCTTCCTTTACAAGTGGCATTCCATTCGAGGACGATCGTGGAGAACTTCTGGGAAGAACAATGAGTAGGCGGCGTGTAGTTAGCAGTAACCGGGGGTTTCCCGTATGTGTAGCCAAAGTCATGGCGGAGAATTTGATGCGAACAAGGTTCGGTGTTGGGATGCTTAATGGGTTTGGTTACTTCAAAGAAACGAGTTGGTGGGGTATCATTGAGAGGGAGAGTGAGGAGTTGTGAATCGTAAAGATTTGAGGAATTGTGAAGAAGGGCTTTCGTGTTGTGGAGATTGGCTGAAGCAGAGAGAAAGAGAGAGAGGAAGAGGACGAGGAGGAGAGTGAAGTGAAAGGAAGCCATGAATGTGAGAAAATTTAGCTACCCGGCCATCCTCAGTTTCGATTTTAGAAAATGGCCTTAAACTGTTTTTCAATTTTTTTTAATTTAGAGAAGATGACGTGGCATAATTAGAATTAATTAAACACCTAAAAGGGGTTAAAATAAAAATACTAAAACATATGTGAGCCAAATAAGATCTAATGAAAGTTTTTAAAATTTGAAATTTCTCAAAACAAGCCCCACTATTCACCTTGCTTAATCGAAAATCATTACGGCAAAAAGCGATATCTTGAACCAAAGAGAGACGTGATTTTTTCCGATCGAACACCTACAAATTTGTACCCTAAATCAATTTCTTGAACCCTAAACCGAATACAGTCGCGATTTCTGGCACTATAGTTACGATTTCCGATCGATTTGTTGAACCCTAAAATCGATTTCCTTAACCGTAAACGGAATCTGTGCCATTTCCAGCGATACAGTCCACATTTCCGATCAAAACTGCAAACTTTGACACCAAATTCAATCCAAAATCATGGCTGACACTGACAATGAGGAGGAAAGCCCAACGCCACTTCGAATCCTAGATTCCGGTGGCGCAAGCAGTTCAATGGCTGCTCCGGTGGATCATCCGACCAGTGAAGGTAGTCCACACGCAGAGGAGACGCCGGTGGCACAAGAATAGAGGGAAGAACCTGCAAACAGTTCTGAAGACAAGGAGTCAGGCGAGAATTCAGGCCAGGAGAAGTCATCCGAGGATTCAAGCGACGAGGAGGAGGCTGGCGAAGATAGGGTACGTTGTTTGGGAATATTGCTTGTACTTTCGCTTAAGCGATCATTTGTATCGCTTAAGCGATTATTCTGTTTTACTCGTGATCGCACTCATGATCGCTAAAGCTATAAAAAGGATCGCTTAAGCGATCTGAGATCTGGGCAGATGATTCTGCCAGACCTAAGATCGCTTAAGCGATCATGAGTGTTTGCTCTTGGTCGCTTAAGCGATCTTAGGTCTGGGCAGAATCACAGATATAATAAGCGATCTGTTATATCGCTTAAGAGATTCTCAGTTAACTCTTGGTCGCTTAAGCAATTTCAAATCGCTTAAGCGATCTTGCACGAGGCAGAGTCAAGATTTCTTAAGTGATCCGAGATCGCTTAAGCGACTACAGTGGTTTTGATTTATTTTTGTTGCTGACATTTTATTTATATCGATTGTGCAGATTGTGCGGACCGTAAACTGTAGAGAGTACGAGTTGGAGCCTATAAGTGAGAAGGTACCCTACTTCCTTGCAAGAGGAGGTTGAGTTGGGAGGTTTTTGACAGAATAAGGGCCATTTTAGCTGGAATGAGGCATGGTGAAAGAGATTTCGGTTAGTTTTTAAGAATCGGAACAAATTGGAAAAAGTCATTTTGGGGGCAAGGAGTGCATTACATGTTGATGCACTCAGTAAAATGCAACAAAAGAAATGAAATGTGGTTCGTGGTGGACGGAAAGCCACTACGGTTTGCTATGATGGAGTATGCCTTGGTGACGGGCTTAGGATGCGGGAAAGTGCCAACTAAGGCGGAGGCAGACGCAATAAGGACGAGTCTGGAGCCATAAGGTTTCGTAATAAGGTTTTGCAAGGGGCAAAGTCTAGTACAGGACACGTTTTAGAGGAGAGGCTAGATACAGTTCGGTTTAGTGATGCAGAGAAGATAAAAGTGTGTTTGATATTGTTTTGACATTCTATCTTATTGGCTGGTGACTCAACAAAAGCTGTTGAGAAAGACTGGTTGTTGTTTGCAAGCGACTTGGAGTTCTTTAATTCTTATCCGTGGGGACGAATATCATTTGAGCGAACCATAAAGAGCCTGAAAAAACCAGACATGGCGTTAAAGCATGTCGAATGGGGCGGGAAGGCTAAACCAAGCACGTATAATTTGTTTGGCTTCCCATGGGCAATGCAAGTAAATATTAATAGCTCTCTGTTATATTTTTTATAATATATGTGTTTGAATAATGACATGGACTGTTTTTTTACAATGTAGGCTTGGATGTACGAGGCTATCCTTGTCTTCGCTAAGGGGGGGGGGAGGAGCAACAGTTTGGATGTGCAACAACAATTTCCTAAGATGTTGCGGTGGCATGTCGGGAGGTGTAACCATTGGGATTATGGCCAATTAGAGATTGAGATTCAAGCGACTGGGGTAAGATTGAAGGATTATGCTTTTGAATATGCAGTTGCTTTTTGATTTTGCTTCAATCTGATTGATTTTTATTTCTTATTGCAGGGAGTCGTGCGTCCATTTCTCACCGCTATTGGGGATGAAGCGGAAGAGGACTATGTCACATCTTTCAGAGCAATGGAGGATGAAAGGGATGAACGGATAGACCGCCTGATGCGGGACCTAAAAGGGGTCACACATGTGACGGCAGTTGCAGGGCCATTGCTTGACAATGTCGTTGATGCTGAGGATTATGAAGCTCCAATGGGCGGGAGGCCCGAGGATGAGGAGGAGAAGAGGGAGGAAGAGGTTCGTATGCCTCAGCAAATCGGTACAACAAGTATCGCTTTGCTGAGACATCGGCGTGGGGAGAATGAGGTTGTTGACCTCATAAACGGCCTGTTTGAGAGTTTTACAACAGCCGTTTATGCAAGGTTTGACAAGATGGAAGAAATAATGAAAAGGGTGGAGGAGAAAGTGGATAAGTTGGGAGAGAAAGTAGGTACAATGGAGGGCGAAGTTAGTACAATGGAGGAGGAAGTTGGTGGAGAATTAAAGGCGGTTGAAGTGCAAACTGGCTTGAAAAGAGAAAGCCGAAAGAGCAAGTTTGTGAAATTGGCTTACATGGTAGTGACACAGGTAAAGAAGAAGAAAATGAAGAAACAAATGGAGGAACAACCAGAAATGGAGGAGGTTGAGGAGGTTGGTGGTGGAAATGGGGCGGTGATAATGGAGGAGGGGGAGGTGGGAGGCGAAGGAAGCGGGGATGTAAAAATGGAGGAAGGGGGAGGAAGTGGGGAAGGGAAATTGGACTCAAATGTCGATTTGTATAGGCCAATAGAGGAAAAGAAAAAACTCTTTTATGCCTATTACAATGGATCGGGAATTGATGGCCATATAAAGTGTAAGACAGGGGATTATCCCCGGGAATGGTTTAAGAAGTTGTTGACGATGGGGACGTGGCTTGAGGACTCGGTGAGTTATGTTCACTTAATTTTCCTTATTTTTTCCTGTGTTTCCTAACTATCTTGTGTTTTTATTGATGCAGCACATCGATGAGATATTGTCATTGATGAGGCTACGACAGACTGTGATTGTGATCTGTTGTATCCCGACTGTGCTTATCACCGATGTGGCGTTGGGCAAACGCTTGTTTCAGCATATCGCACTTTAATTAAAAATGCAGTTGCTAGTGGTGTAGCAAAAGGATCGAAGCGAAAAACGATTGGCCACACAACAGTTGGACTCATCCCTGATGATCTCCAGTTTGATGAAGGATTAGTAGTACGTAGGGGGGATCGCCCAAATATGGCCAAGGTTGGGCCTGGTTAAAGAGGTGTACTACATCATCCTCGTCAAACAGAGCACTGGATAGCAGTTATTGCGCTCTAGAGGAGGGGTTGCGAAGATCCTTGACTGCAACCCAACCTATTTGGCGAGACAAGCAGTGGGAGGTAGAGTTGGAGCCACTGTCCGGTTGTTCCCGTGGTGTGTGCATGACAGCGGGGGTTTGGGCATGGGTGGATCAGTACTAACCGGAAGTGGCCAATTCAGCGCTCACTACTGCCCAATAATGAGTCAAGGTAAATTTTGTATAAAACTAAACCTTACATAATACAATTGTTCTATAGTTTATTATATGCTAATGTTTTTCTATTGTAGATTGAATGTGGGCATAGCCCTGAAAATTATTCAGTTTGACAGACCAACAGCTGATAGACAACTTGAATGATGAAACAGATGAGACTGTCAGGAGCGCTGGGTGGCGATGCTTCCATGGGAGATGGATCCGTTTTGAGTGACCAGAACCCAATCAAAGGTATGAAGTTGGAGGCTGAATTTTGTAGTTTATGTGATGTTGATGTTCATATTTGGGTTGTGGTGCTGTGCTGCAGGTGTCATGCTTATGTGGAGTTTACGAAAGAGACGGACTAGAGTGAACTTCTAATACACACTCTGTAAACTTTTTTATGTGTTTTTTTTTTAATTTACAAAAGCTGACGTGTTGCAGGGTGGCCCGGATATTTGTTGCAGGTTCAGGCAGGGTTGTTGGCAAAAAATTCGAAAACTTCTCAAAGGCTGGTGGCAAGAGGAGGCATACAATAAAGGGATTGTGCAAAGGTGTTAGTGACATTAAATCTTTGGCATCAAAAAGTAAATTAAGGCAGAGTGTATAGGAAATTGTAAATAATTTACTATGTATGGTGGGTCATGTAAAGAATTGGATCTGACATTTGGGAGATATTTTGTTGTCACAGATAGATAATTCATCAGCAGTTTATTTAATATGTATGTGGGATCATTTGCTGCACAAGCGGTATGGTTTTTTAGCGTTTTGTTTCATTTGTGTATCGTACAACGTGTGATGTATGGTGTGAATTGATCACCACAGTTGGGGGTAATGGTTAGCTTGTCAAAATATTTCGATTTTTGCTGCATCCATGCCTATTTTTTATTTTGTGTTTCGATAAACAGTTACATTGATGTCTCTATATTTTGATTTGTGATGAATTAGATTGATATAAATTACTAATTTTGCGATACAAATTCTTTCGGATTGGGAGGAAATGAGTGATGTACAAATGTTTCTCAATCACAGTCATTTCAACTTAATTAACTTAAAGACAGCCATGGTACCAAACAATTACGTATGACTGATCACAATCTCTCTTAAACGACCAAGACTTTTCAGAAACGATCACTTAAGTGATCCTAAATCGCTTAAGCGACAGACAGGTCTTAAGAAGATCGCTTAAGCGAATAATAAGGTCGCTTAAGCGATCATAGTCTGGGAAGATGTCATTTTGCCTGAAAAGATCGCAAGTGACCAAGAGTCTTTTAGGAAGAATCGCTTAAGCGATACTTAAGGTCGTTTAAGCAATCATAGTCTGGGCAGATGCATTCGCTCGAAAGATCGCTTAAGCGATCATAAATCGCTTAAGTGACCAAGGTCTTTTACGACACAGCTTAAGCGATATAAATGGATCGCTTAAGCGATCATAGATCTGGGCAGATCATTTGCCTCGGAAAAGATCGCTTAAACGACCAAGAACCTTTGACGAAAATCGCTTAAGCGATACAAATGGATCGCTTAAGCGACCAGCAGTAAAAGCAAAGAATCGCTTAAGCGATACAGATGAATCGATTAAGCGACCAGAGTAAAAGCACGAACGCTTAACCAATCCTATGTATTCGGATATTATTTATTGTATTTTAGAGCATCGGTTAAGCGATCCCGCTATACTAAATTTATAGGGTTTACGATTGTCGTGCAACTTGAC